CTAATATATCCAACTCTAGAACTTTTGAAGTGAAATGATGTCGAGTTTAATTAGACGATCGACAAACTGAATGTCAATCCCAGAGGAGAAAACTTGATTGAAGGAGTACAGAAATTTCGTAACATTTTCCTCGTATTAGACAAGTGGAAAACTCAGTTGCCAATTATAAATTTCCGGAAGCATTCAGAGACTGATGAGAGATATATATCATTTTTTTCATGAACAAATCGTATATATATATATATAAACTTTTCATAAAAATGAGAGGTTAATTTTCACAATTTCTAGTGAAGCGTGAATTTTATTTTATACTTTGAAAAAAGTGGAACGTACATTGTATAATAAGTTTTTCATTGAGCACAATCATTTATTGACAAATATTTTATTATACTTTGTATCGCAAATTGAAATTTTTATTTTTCATTCTTTTAACTTTTCATTTGAAAATTTTTTCTTTTTTATTTCTTTACTTTTTCAATATTTTTTATTGTTAACTTTTATTTTTTTTAAAATAGTTTTTCAATTTTTTTATTTCTCTTTTTTAATCTCTATTTTTTTTATTTTCAAATTTATTTCTTCTTTTTATGTGTCTCTATTTTATGTTGTTTTTCTTTGAATTTTTTCCTCCATTCAGTGTGACAAATGCAAAAATAATTGTCAAAAAAAAAAAAAAAAAAAGAAAAAAAGAAAAAATATGACACAAGAAACTATGCGCAGCTTGATAAAACAAAAGGATGATGATTAAACTATATATGAAATTCTCTCGAGAGAATAGTTGATGAAATGCTCACAGATAAAATGTACAATTGTATTTTAGTCGAGAAAATCATGAAATTAGAACTTTATACATAGGTGTAGTGTATGGGGGATTAAAACTTTTTTTAATATTTCTAAAATGAGAAATTAAATTTTTCCTTTTTTTAAAAAAAATAGTTTTCTCTAATATTAAAAAAACATCATAAAATTAGCATGTAAATAAAAGTAAAAAACAATGTTATCGCGTCACGTGATAAAAAAATATAGTTACACTGGGAACAGTTGTCAAAAATTGTTTTCCAATATAATTATTTCTAAATTAATACAGTAAATATATATAAAGAATAAAAATGTTGTGGAAATTTAGAAAAAAGAAGTAGAACATATTTTGCACGGATTCAATTTCGCCGTATGTTCGAATTTATATATATATATATAGAAACATCGAGGAAGCTTCTGATAAGTGAATCAGAAAAATTCAGAAGACCACCCGCGAACCAGCTGTAAGGAATTGCCCCGTAATAAAAAAAGAATATATACATATGAAAAAAAGTGGAAAAAAGTTGGAATTCGAAAACTCAACGTTCTATATTCGCAGTTTCAAAGAAAATGGTGAAGTTTTGAACAGAATTTTAGTTATACTCTCTTTACTATCTTTTGAAATATAAGTTAAATTTGAAAATTCGTCTAAAAATGTGGATAAAAAGGAATTTGTTAAAAAAATTATTTAAAGAAATTTTTTTACTGTTTCAATTTACATAAATCAGATTTTGAACACTAAAATGTAATTTCCATTCCTTTATACTATAACAACTCAAAAAGACATGATTATTAGGATTATATGAGTGAAAATTTCAAGAATGCATATATAGAATCTGCTTTGAAATATTTTAACGAATTCTCAGCGCACACACACACATATTCACAAAATCCAAATTATTCTCTAGAATGTATATATCCAACTCTCAGAAATGAAAATCATGAGTTATCTCCAGACTATTATTTCTCTCGCTTTTCAGCTTTTTCAACTAACAATGATAATATATAACATAGGAAAAAAATAAAATAAAAATTTAACCTGTATAAACCAAAAAAGTTTTCTAAAAGAATGAAATATTTTTTTTCAAAAGAAAAAAAAATAATAATTTTAAAAAATGTTCAAAATTTTTTTATTAGCTTCTAACAGTCCGAACAAAAAATGTAAATGGCAGAATTAAGAAATTGACAGAGTATAAGAACTCGATAAGAATAAAAATTCCCAAAAATAGAAATATACATTTTATATATAAAAATATATACATATATATTTATATATTGTGCATCTTGAGAATAAATTTGTTGATCAAATAAATAGATCATTTAAAAGAAAAATACATTGGATCCAGGCCAATATGTTAGGAGGCGAGAGAGAGAGAGAGAGAAAGAGAGACAAAGAATACCTGATTGCATGTATCAACTTAGATCTCGTACATGAATTATTTATTTCCCCTTTTCTATTGAATACAGTTTAAATTCTCTTCTATACGAAATCGAGCAAAAAAAAAAAAAAGAGGATACGTACATGGTTAATAATATTGATTTTTTTTTCACCCGGGGGAAATAATAAAACATTTTCAAATATTTCGATTTCCTTAAATAGAAATATATAAAATGATTTTTATTTTCTTATTTTTTTATTTATAGAAAATAAACATCATTTGTTAAGATATACAAAACTCAGGAAAAGCTCAACGGAAATAAATATATTTGAATATCATATGCAACTATCAAATCCCCTGCTGCTTTTTTTTGCAACTAGGTCAGTTTTTTCAAGATTTTATTTAAGATAATAATATATATAGGCGATTTCCGATTATATTTTTTTACCAATATCAAACAGTTGTATAAAAATAAAGAAAATGAAAAATATACGCGATAAAGCAGTTTATGATTGATAAAACTGGCTTTATTAAAAGAAGTATTATATCAATTAGTGAAGGAAACTCAGAAAAGTGGTATTTGATTTTTAAGCTTTAAAATAGTAATGTTTTCTTTTATTTTTACTCAACTTGACTTTCATGAAATTCTAATTTTATAAACTTTTAAAATATAAGTTGTCAATTAATACCAAATAATTGAATTAAATAAACTGTATTTGAACAAATAATTTCTTTATTTGAAACAAATACTAATAATTATTTGATACATCTATGGGAAATTTTGCCTAACATTCTTACAAAATTTTATCAGACAGAAAGGAATGTAATACCTTAAGTGAATCACGTTAGGCATTAAATTTACGTCTGACTCATCATGCAGAAAAGTGATAACGCGGATCATCAAACATGAACTATTGTTTCAATTAATCAGTTTAATTAAATCAACTATTTCCTATAAAAACTAGAATTAAAATTTCCATTACTATTGAAAAAAAACACAAATAAACATATTTGAAATCTGATTGCAATGTGAACATGAATTTTGATATCCGTCAAAAACGACAAGAAAATGTTTATGTAATAAACAGGAGAAAAAACTGAAATTTTATTCTAAAAAAATATTTTTAATTTAAATAATATCAGCTATGATGTTTATTTTAATTATTTAATTAGTAAAAGAAAACTAAAATCCTTTCTTATAGTGAAATTTTTTTTTTTTAATTAGAAAGTTGCATGATGCAAAATGCTGAAAAGGCAAACCGCAAATTTTAGCTTTCCACACAAATCTTGACTTCAGTCGGAAAATTGTTCAAGCTGAATTTATTGCAGTTAATTAAAGAAAATATAGGTTTTTATTACAAAACTTCAGCGTTTTATTTTATATAATCAAAAATTTTACTTCACTATATCAAAACTTTTAATTTCACTAAACTTTTACTCAAAACTTTCTTCCTAATGCAAAAGAAAAATGAATGTTTCAAAGAATTTAATAAAAAATAAACAGAAATTGTTGAGAATAATTAATTATGTCAAAAACATAAAACATTTCCAAAACATATACAGTTTGGGGGAAAAAAAAACCAATAGTTAAAAAAATAACATTGTAATTATTTCACAAAAAAAAACTTTTTGTAAAAAATTCAGTTTACCAAGAAAAAAAAACGTAAATGCTCATTTTACTTTATAAATTTTCTCTTCTATGTTAAAACTGCCGGATCTTTCAAGAAATCAGTTTTCTTTTTCTCCAATTTACATTTTAAAAAGATTGGTCTTTACAAAGAAGAAATTGAGAAAGGAAACGAAAGCACTGGTAGATAAGTAGCAAAGTTTTGTTTATAAATGCAAAAAAAAGGTAAAAATTTGTCGAACTACATAAAAACTCGAGAAGGTTTATTTATGCTGACATATTAAAATAAGATTTTTTAGAAATTTATTAATAAGAAGAATTTTCGAAAAAAAAACTATTTCCCTCGTTGTTAGTGTATGTTTTTTTATTGAAATTCTAGAATTATACGCGTTAAAATTTTATATCTATAAAATATCTGACATTTTGACCTTATTAAAATCCACTCAAGCCATATATGTATTATATATATTATACGTAAAATAGCTATGTACATGTAAATAAATTAAAACTCGAGAGATTTAATTGAAAATTTTCAGTATAAAGTATAAGGGCTGTTTGAAAACTATTTCATAACATTTAGTCCCCAAGCGATGGAATTATAAAGTTTTCAAAATTCACATTGCAATGCATAAACATTTGAATGAAAAAAGAAACTAATATAAAATACTAACAAAAATTTACTAATAAAAGAGATTTTTAAAAGTTTAAAAAATTACAAATTCAAAGCTTCCTTTGAATAAAAATAAAACACTTATTTGTGATTCAATTAATAAATAATTTGGGAGTGGTCCGATATTACTCAGGTATTTCCCCTATATTGACAAATATAATATAATATTATATTAATATTTGTCGATAGTAATAATAATAATAATAACGTTCAAAAGCCGAAAGGTATATGAACTATGAATAATAATAATGTTTGTAAACTTATAATGTTGACTTATATAAATAATTTGAGAAATCTGCTTACAGATTACCTTGGTTTTTGCACGCCAAAGTTATGTGGTATACAAAACAATAAAACATATAAATTTAAATCAATTACAGCTGGCGACCAATTACGAGTCCCAATCCACTAAAAACCCGTAACTCCTTTTTTGGAGCCCTTTATCCACCCTCGAAAATTGTACTTTTTTTTGATCACAGCATTGATTTTTAAATATAGAAAAAATATTATAAAATTTAAATCTACTCACGTGATTTTGAAATCATGGCAATTGATGAATTTGGACTTCGTGTTGTTAAAAAATCTTGTACGACGGAAGTGTTGAAATCGTGACTGCAAATTTCTGGTAAGAAGACTAATATCTCTGCACTTGTTTCCAAATCAATGGACGAATTAGCAATTGGAAGAAGAAACCATCCGAGAAAGGTAACAATAAGCAGGAACCACCACCAGCACTGGCGTAACCAGCACCGGGCCATGGGCCCTGATAAACCAATTTACACCCAAAGCACACCCTGAAACAGAAATAGAAAAAAAAATTAATTAAAAAGTTAAAAGATTTTTTTTTATTATTAAATTTCCATCTGAATCGAGCTGTGAGACCTAGACAAACGCACGGACGGTGGAGAAAGAACGTATTTCCCTCTCCATTGGAATGCGCGTTGCCTATCACGAAACGAATGCGCAGGCGCCGAGTTTCCCCCTCCAGCTCGTTGATCACTGTATAAATATCGGTCGTTCAGATACAGAGCTGCCAGTTCCTAAGAGAATTGCGTATCCGAAACTATTAAAAAGTAACGGAGCGTGAAGTTTTTCCATAATAGCTTTTTACCCAATACGAAGTAAACATTATAAAAATAAATATTCCAACAAGGTTTTTTGATTAATTTAAAAATAGTTAATCAATTTTATAACTCACCGTTAACTGGTTCTTCGATAAATTCTCCGATGTCTTCCGCTTCATCTACAAATCCTCATCAGCCTTCTTTTCCTCATATTGGTGACTTTCGTTCTCTCCATTCGAGGTTTACTCCACCACCGTCTAAACCTCGATATTGTCATACGCCCTGTAGTATTTCTTTCTTCTTTTTTTTTCGTTAGAAAATTCACGATTTATTTAATAACAGTCGATAAACATCTCTCCTTGGTGTAATTCTCAAGTACTATGAAATTGTTATGAGTCGTTATTAAACTATTTGATTTAATAAACATTAACTCGGTATAACTTTATAGCTCTCGTATAATTTCAAGTTTAATGCAAAAGCCCCAACTCTGGTTGTATTATCGCAGGCTTAGCTTTCACTGTGCAAAGTAAAGCTACTTCTCCTGAATAAAGAGTCGATGGAAATGTGCGCTGTTTAGTTTCCTGTAACAATCCAATTTAATACCTTTTGTTATGTAAACGATATACTTTACATAGTAACCAGTTTCATTAACATGTTGCATTTATTACTTTTTAGTTAGTATTCAATAAATTAATTACACATTATTATAGTAATTAATTATATATGTAATTATAATAATATAATATTTTTATAACTATAAATATGAAATTTAATTTTCCAATTATATAACTAATCTAACTTTATTAATTAAAAGTTCGATTGAAATTACTTTATCCAAAATTGAATTTGATAACTTTTTTTCCATTTGGATTAAATACTTAAAGATTTTTATAAAAATAAAAGTAATTATTACTGCAGCAAGTGATTAATGAAATGAAATCAGAAAAAAATGTCAAGCCAATTATTGGGAGAATGTTTTTGTTAAGTTGGAGTTCAATATTAAAGAAATTAGAAGATAAATGGAAAGCTAAGCAGAGAGTTCATAAATCAAAAGATTGATCGATTAGCAAAAGGGAAGTTAAATGGAGGAATGGGGATGGTCAAAGATAAAGGATAAGTGTTTAGAGTTGAGTAGTTTCTGGTAACAATGTCTCTCACTCACTCTCTCTCTCTATATATATGTATATACGATAAGAGGTCAATTCGAATTCGGTTCATGGAAACTACCATTAATTACTATAATTGTCCGTAATAAGTCACTGAACAGCCCTGAGCATCCACTCGACGAAAATGAAATTATGAGCGTGATGTCAGAATGCACCTCATATATAGTAGAAAATTCTGTTTTACTATACATATATGTGATTCTAAACGAAATTACACTTTTAACTTAATTTTCCAACCTCACAAATAACAATATTATAAAACTAATTATCTCTATACATTTCATTTTTTTACTCTATTTTTAACGTAAATATAAATATTTATTTGTAAATAATTTTATTTTTAATATATGTGATGCTCCACGAGAAAAGGGACCTTAGAGACAAAAATTTTAGGTTGTTTACGATATTTGGATTGAAAATGAAAAACTGAACATAACCTAAAATTTGTTGCCCCTAAGGTCCCTTTTCTGGAGCGTCTCATTAGTATTTTATTACTATTAATATTATATTATTATTAATTTTTTATTTAATATTAATATTGGAATTTTAGAAATAAAACAACCATTTTACGGAAATAATTTCGGAAAAATTCGATTTCGAGATGATATTAATTATGTTTATCATAATTTATTACTTAATGTTGTATTATAACAGTATATACTGTAGATGGCAGTTTGATTAAAATGGATCTTTATATATATATACAGCATAGTTTATAATTGATGAAAGATTTCATCATGTTTCTTGAGAACAGGGGAAAAGCTCACGACAGAACAATTTATCGCACAGAAATTTTGTTAAAAGTGACAACCTCTACAAATAATGATAGAGTGAAATGATATGGGGGAATAATATATATATTTATATCATAAATTTTCGCATAAGTCAAATAATTTGAATATATACGGGGACACAAGGAATTTAAGATCGTTGATCATAGAAGGAAAATTTCAAATTCCACTTATCTATTTTACTTCTATCTTTTTGCATAATTAAACAAAATGATATATGATTTGTTAAATGGTATAAATGTTAAAGCACAAGGGATATTTTTTAAATAAAATTTTTTTTTACTATTTCAGATTTAAAGAGAATATATAAACATGGAATTACAAAGTATAAAGATAATTTGTAATTGATTTAAGAATATTAATTAATTAAGTTAACTTTACTCTATTTATGAATTCGTGTATACTTTATTTTAATTGCATAGAAAAGAATAACGAGGATAAAATAAAGAGGTAATTGAGAATAAAAAATGGATAAAGGTCGTGTTTTGAAAGACGCTAAAGAAAGTCAAGGGGCAATTATGTTCAGATTTTCTTATTGAAATTTCTTTCCACAGTAACATTACTTTTTTTTATTCATTTTTCATATTCTCGGACTTATCTACTTTCATAAGCAGTTTCTTTTTTTTATTTTTTATTAATCTCTTAATTATCATTATTTCTATACTTCATTTTTCAGATATTTTTTTAATATCTTTATTATTCAATAAAAAATATTTACTTTATTTATTAAATTATTATTATAAATAATTCCTAATAATTAATTTATAAATTTTTAATACGCGATATTTATTATTTTTCATACATGAAAAGATAATATTATTATTTATTTTAAAATTGTATATGGCCTATATCAATTAATTTCAATTTATTTACGTTAAATCTAAAAGAGAGAATATTTTTATTTATTTTCAATAAACGCAAAAGAACGAGATTATTTATTAAATTAATTTTAATTTTCTCTTTGATATGCCAAAATAAATTGAAATAAATTGATTCTGCGTGTACGTCATCGTTCGCAAATTGCTCCCATGAAATATTAATTTTAACATTTAATACATCGTCAAATTTGAACCGTTATACATATATTTGCGTAAAAAAAATTATTAACTAAATGAAAAATTTTTTTTATAACTAGATTGAACAAAAATAACTTGTATTAATTTTCAATGAAAAATAAATAATATATATTTTTTTTCCCTTATATTTACTTTCATTAAAATTTAGTTTATTTTTTAAATATTAAATCGAAATTAGATAAGAATAATTTAGTGCGACTAAAGAATAAAAAGGAAAAATTACAGAGAAAACCCTCTTAAATATTAAATCCACTTAATGTAATTTATTTCTATTTGTAATTCATTTATTTATTTTTTTTTTTAAATCAAAATTTCTTATTTGCCCAAAATTACTAACAGAAAGACATACAAATCGTTAAAACAAAAATTTGTTCGGCGCCGAAAGAATTATTTTTTGCAAAAAAAAACTAAAAGAAAAAAAATATATTCTGCAAACTCAGTGAAACGAACTTTCATATTGTCTTTATTGCATATTGTATGAATGCAAACACACACAGAACATTTCTTTTTCATGTGATATACATATGTGTGTGGAAACTAAAAAGAGCAAGAAAACGGTGAATTTTTATCAAGTAAAAGAGAAAACAAATATAGAGAGACTTTTCTTTTGGTGATTTTAGCGCAAAGTAGAAAATTCGTGAGCCTAATAGCTTTTCCCGGGGAAATAATTTAATCAATTTGAAGAGAGAAAAAGTAGAAAAATTCAAGTTAGTGATAATTGAGAAAAATACAGAAAAAAAACGATGATATTCTAAATTTAAGAATAAATTTTTTTTATTTATTTATTATTATAATAATAATAAATAAATATAATTATTTTATATTTTCAAAAATAGATGACAAGGATATATTCTTAATTTTAGAATAAATTGTTTTTGGGTGTAGATTAACCTCTTTTCGCTTCCTGCTATTTTCTTTTCTCAAAATGACTTTCAAGATAAAACTGCAAGTCAAGAAAAATCGAAAGGAGAAAATTGGTATTTTATCAATGTTACTTGAAACGTAATTGAGATTATCTATCATTCAACTATCACTATTTGTTTGAACGCCTTATATATATAAAACATTTTGAAACGATTTCCCCAAAAATTTATTTAAAGACAAGAAATAAAACTGTTCGTACATATTTTTTAATAAAAAAATTTAACCTCAACATAAATTTTCTATTATTATTATTATTATTATTATTATTATTATTATTATTATTATTATTTTTATTTTTATTATCATAATTTCTTGTCTGAAAAGTCAATAAATAAAATCAAATTAACCAATTTTTTACTAGTCATTTAATTTTAATTATTATTTTTTTCTCATATATTTTTAAAGAAATGTTTACTTTCAATATTTGAATTTTAAAAGTTCGTTAAATTGCATATACAAAATTAATTAAACAATTAACTTTTGTTTTTGTTTAATAATGATCTCTGGTAGTAAATGTGTATTGAAATTTAAAAAAATAAATAAAAAGGTCAAACCTTAATTGATAATATAAAATATAAATGAAAAATTTTAATTTGGGAATTTTTTATTAAAATTGCAATCAAAATAATAAGAGAAAAATTGTGAAAACGAAAAAAACAATTTTTTGGATAAAATGAAAATAAAAAAATTCAGGCACACAATTCTACTTTGTAATGTGGATCTAATTCGTTTAATTTATAGTTTAACTTTTCTTGAAGGGGGGTCTTAATTAAGAGGCTAAATTTACTTTTCAGCGGGGTCTTAATGTAAGAAAAAAAACATTTTATTTACGTGTGGAAAAAAAATGTTTTTCCCCCCTCCTAAATTAATTTTATTGATTTTCAATTCAAGTTATAAAAAAGTATAGTAATTTCGAAAGATAATTAAAATTTTTACATTTCAAACAAAAAGGTAAAAATATTTTCTTTTAATTTTACGGTTTTTTGTTTGTTAATTTAAAAAAAAAAAAAAAAATTCAAAGAATATGAGAGAAATATGATTTCAAGAAGGTTAGAGCAGTTTATGGTGTATAAGATGACCCGGACAGAAATACGAGCTGCTGGAAAAAACGTGCAAAAACTCTACAACAGTCCAGCAAACCCTTTTGTTGAATCTAGTGCACATTTGAAAAGTTGACCACAAGAACAGTGTCTTCTTAAGTTAGTACTTGAGAAAGTGCTTTTTTTTCTCTTTTTCTCCTTGTCTTTTCATACTCTCAAGAACTTCCAAGTGTCTTAGTTACACTTGTTTATAAAATTAACTCCGCCTCGAGGTCATCTTTTCAAATTTTCAAGATATATAATAATAATAATAATAATAATAATAATAATAATAATAATAATAATTACATGCTACTTGGGATATAATTTTGCTATTATTAATGTAACAAGATTATAATAATAATTAAATATAAATTTTTATAAATTAGAACAATAATTATTGCTAATTGATACCAAAAATTAAAAATAGTTATATTACTTTTATGATTTGTATAATTAACACCAGTTAACAGATGTTTTATTGTCAAATCTCGTTTTTCCTTTTCTATATAATCGCACTAATTATCTGAGTTTTCAAGTTGTTG